AAGGCGTCGAGTTTTGACTGTGAAGTTTAACTAGAATTTTTTTAGACATACAAATCAATGTAATTGCACGCCTCGTAACGCGAAGCCTTATTAGTTAGTGGTTTACTTTCGACACGTCAAGGTCAAGCAATTTTGTATTCTTAAAATGCCTCTATCATAACCATATTGCACATATACGATAATATGAGTAGCCGTAAATCAAGAAAACACTAATTAATACATTTTACATTTTCTAAAAAAATCATTTTATATTGCTACTTTGAAAAAAACTTTACACAGACGTCCGGATGTTGATTTTTTATGTGATCACGATAACTCGCGAAAAAATGACGTATCGAGACCGGTTTTTTTATTAGCTTCAGAATTACATCAACTGGTTCCCTATTTCCTATCAATAGCCTAGTACGCGTAGTTTGTTAATAAAATGATATTCAACTTTTATTGCTATTAAAAATTTAAAGGCGTAGGCGCGCTTTCTTATGTTTTTTAGCCCTTGATAGACAAAGGACAAATGTACCATACAGCCTATATATCGATTTTATGCTTTGTGTAATCGATTTATTTTGGTAAACATTATTAATATTTTTCCCTGTAGGTGACACTAGCTGTTAAAATAATAGAGCGCTAAATTTAAAACACATAAATAATATATTTTAAAAGTGAGAAATACAATTAATTTTTTATTCATCAAAATTAAATGAAACGCTCTTGAGGCGTGCACTTTTGGATTTTCCAAAATATTTTATATTATTCTCACAAAAGATATCGTAAAGTTTATAATTGTAACTTTGTAATCAAATTTTTAACTAAAATACAAAAATCACTTTTAGCGAAATTATGTCAAACGAAACTTTTACACATCTTTAAAAATAAAAGTAAATGAAAAAGTACTGAAATGTCAAAGGCGTGAGGCATTCGCAAAAATGTCAGCAAAGTTAGTTGTACACAAATTTGAAGAGGGATTTGATTACAAATATTTATATATTACAATTGGAAATACTTTATCTGAAACTACTTTTAGTGATTGGAAAGATGGCAAACAAGAACAAAAAAAGAAAAAATCGGAGAGCTCGCGATTAGTTGTTAAGTTAGTTACAGGAAGTGATTTAGGGTGCATTGATTTAGATTCTTGTTCCAAGGAGATATCAAATTTGAATGTGTATTCAAATTATATAAGCAACTGGAAAAGATATGATAAAAATAAACTATCCTATTCTCAAGAAATAAACGATGACCAGAAAAATCCATTTGAAAACAAATCCGATAATACATATTGTTTTGACTACAATGGGTTAAGAGGTATAGAAATTGATTGCACTAGTCAAAACACTTTTTTAAGTAAAGAAAAATCAAATAATGAACAAGAGATAATGTTTAATGCCACTAGCCCTCTGGAACACAGTTTAGAAAAGGTAAAAGAAAATAATGCAAGAATTATGGAAAATATTCACATGCTTAACAGAACATTAAATTACACAAAAAAGAAAGAAATTCTCGATGTCATTTGGCCTGGTCCAAGTTCTATGACCACATATCCTTGTAATATTTGTGGAAAACATTTTGTTTATGTAACAGGCTTAAAAAGACACATTGCAATAAGGCACGTCTTACCTGAGTCGCAACAATGGCAAGTTGTATGGACTTGCACAGAGTGTTTTCAAGTGTGGCCTAGCCAAGATTTGGCTTTAAATCATTCAGGTCAATGTTGTAAGAGGAACAGTACAGATAACATACATGAAATAAAAACTTCATCACTTTTGCAATGTGAATTTTGTGAAAAAGTTTTTACAAGTATACCCAGATTATTGAGTCACACAAAACTCCATACTGTAGTCAGTAATTATGAATGTAGTCCATGTGCCATGAGTTTTCAATCATATAAAAATGCTGATCAACATTGGCTGTTCTGTCCTTGGTTACATATGTGTTACAAATTTTCATTATCAAAACTACTACTATGCAATGCTTGTGACAGAAAATTTAGGAACTATGAACAACTGTATAATCACAGGTAATTTCCCATATTATCTCCTTTTTACTCTCATAATCAGCCTTTGAACAGTTCAATGCTTAATAAGGGCCTCTCCCATAAAAGGGAGAATTGACCTTAATCCGCATGCTTAGTTATTGCAGTATCTAGCACCTTTGATGCTTCATCCTTTTTGATATTATACTGAGTAAAAGTGGCGTAAGAAGAGCTACTACCCCAAATCATCCTTTGAAAACTGTGGTTGCCAATCTGCCTGCCAAATGTGGCAACGATGGTGCACATCTCCCTATGTGCAAATCTATGGAGGAAGTCTATGTTAAGCAGTGGACCTTGTTTGGCTTTAATGACTGATAACTAGGTGATTATACTGCCATATACTGAAAGCCACAAGATCTTGTAGGCCCTTCCCAAAGTCACTTCATACGGACCTATAGGTTAATACTGGATGATCTTGGTTATCTTATAAGGTTGAATTTTCAAGTGTTGAATTGAGGTTCATGTATAAATATAAAATTTGGTTAAGTTTCACAATTTATTATTCTATTTTATTTTATTTTTAAAGGTACAAAGTTGGACACTTCATGACAAAAGTTATTACTGATGACAATCCAAAATCTTCATTTCTAGTTTATCAATGCGAGATTTGTGGAGAATGGTTTTGTGCAATACCAGCCTTGCTAGCACATAGAAATCACTATCACCCACATAATGATTCTAGGGTGATGAATAATGTTGGTAATTAATAAGTTAAGCTCAAGGAACGAAAACACTCATAGAACTAAAAAAAGACAAACTTTTATATATTAAAAATGTGATGTTCTTTTTCTGGCACTTCACTAACACAATAAAACCACTTAGCAAAATTCATCATGGTTTGCATTTTAATTGACTACTACACATTGATGTGATTAAGAATCCATAATGTTAGATGTAGTATGCAATAACAATAAAGTGTAATACCTTCAACACAATAGTTTATAATTTTAATATTTGTGTTCTACTAGTTAGTCTCTTCGAAATATGGTTAAAAAAACTTAAGCTATGGTTCAGTTTTAGAGCACAAATATTTGAACTACTACATGACAGTCAAGATTGAATACAAACTTGTTTGTTTGCATCATGGGGGTTCATCAGTAGTCACTTTATTGCTTTTTTATAAACTGTGTGACAGATCACAAGTGACAATTTCGCTTAAAACTCCATTTACATCAGAGATATGTGAAGCAAAAAAGCGGTGCCAGGAGGCGTGGCAGAGCTGTGAAATGAAGTCACTCTATCCCACCAACGCTGTACGAGCAGACTTCATACTATTTCTGGTCGAGGAAGTCTTTTGACTGATAGTCTAGTAGCTTGATAATTACACCTAATTGAACACGTTCCTCGCACATATTCTTCTCAGGCATTCTTTGCACACAATACTTTTTTGTTCTGTATGTACTAAGACCTCACACAACTAAGCAGAGTTTTGCTTTTCCATCAAAGTTGCACTGACCAAGCCTAAGAAAATGAAGTAATCCCAGGTAGTTGATTTTTTCCTTCCACACTGCTTTACTACCTTGCTAAGCTCTATTCAAGATTAAGTCATGGTTGTTTTGAGATTGTCATAATGTGTTAGGGTATATTTCTACAAATAACACAACGTGAAATTAATGTTTGAATTTTAAAGAGACCTACATGGTGTCATTTTTTCAGTATGTGTTTTCATTCTTTAGCCCTAACCATATAATTACCAAAATATTGTACAATTTGATCTGAATAATATTTATACTTAATATGTTAAAAATATTTTCAAAATAAAATATGGTTATGAAGTGCAAAGTTGATTAAATTTGTTATAACTAACGACCCACCCTGGCTTCACCTAGGATCTATTAATATGGCATTATTTATATTTAAAAAATAAAAGATGATTTATTTCATCAACTATTCATTTTTTCAACAAAAATATCATGCAAGTTTTTAGAATAAAATATAACTCAGATCCATTCTGGCATTGCTGTCAAGCTGATTGTAATGTTTCATGGCAATTATTTCAGCCATTATGAATATTAGCCTGGACGGACAGACGCACAATGTTTTTTTTTAAATGCTTGTGTTTAGTTATTTCAATTTTACATCTGTCTATAACTTCAATTTTATTTGTATGTATATGGACTTAGTGTATGAAAAAGATGAGGCAGTGACAGACTGCAATATCATGATTGAAGATGAACAAATTGAACAGGTGAAAGAGTTTGTGTATCTGGGTTCAAAGTTTACAGAGATGGAAAGTGTGAGAGTGATATCGAAAGAAGAGTGAATGCAGGAAACATGGTGAATGGAGCTTTGCACTCCTTTATGAGCAGTCGGAAGGTGTCTAACAAGGCTCGTTTGGCTGTGCATGAGGGGGTGTTGGTTCCGACACTCATGTACGGAAGTGAAAGTTGGGGTATGGCAGAAGAAACATGATAGCAGAATAAATGCAGTTGAGATGAGAGCATTAAGAAGTATGATAGGAGTTAAACTGAGTGACAGGATAAGAAATAGTGACATAAGGAAACGTTGTGGTCTGAAAGAAGATGTAGTGACAAAAATTGAGAAAGGTATGCTGAGATGGTTTGACCATGTCGAGAGAATGAATGAAGAACGATTGATGAAAAAAGTGTATAAGGCGAGTGTGAATGAAAGTGTTGGAAGGGGTAGACCTAGGCGGACATTTCTAGACCAAATCAGGGACGTCTTGAAAAAAGGCCAGGCCAAGAGTACCCTAAACCATAGAGCATGTATGAAGGGAATAATGAAAGTGGACGAAGCGAAACAACTATGTAAGGATCGTAGGAAGTGGAAAGAAGTGGTCTCTGCCTACCCCTACGGGAAAGAGGCGTGATTATATGTATGTATGGACTTAATAATAATAATAATTACTATTTATTACACAATAATTATACCAAAAACTTTATAAAAGTATATAGATTAAAAACTACAGAAATAATACAGTAAAAAAGACATCAGAATGTAAACTAAATCTTACCTTATCAGTAGGAGACATGACCAGTTGACAGAAGTAAAGGTATGATGCAGATTCCACATAGTTTCCACACTCATACCGATATTTGGCTAATTGGTACATACTGTCTATCATTTCAATTTTAAACTAAAAAAATAACAACATATTACCATGTGAAAAGAACTCTTTAAATATTTAAAATATAAAAATAAGGAGCAGCCAAATCATTTTCTACAACTCAGACTATTAGCACTATAGATATACAATTTGAGATTCCAAATTTACCACATATTCAGCAGTGACAGAAACAAAAACAAAATGGCATGTCTGAGAAAATAAAAATATTCTGAATACTTGTGACGTTTTTGCACTGAAGCAACATGACTGTTCTTTCGTGCCACATAATCTCAGAAATGACCTCTTATTTCACTTTATTTAGTAGTTTTAGTAGAAAACAAAAAACTTAAAAAGAAGAATTATACCTCAAATTCTCTATTGGTGGTTAAGTAATTTATGAGAGTTTTAGGGTCTCTCATTGTTTCAACTGTCTTCATAACATCATCCCTTTGCATAAGTCTCAGAACTGGCTCTACTGCATCTTGTAGTTCTTGCAGCTGAGACAGAACCACACCTCTGCGAGCCTTGATTTCCTGTAAAATTAATGTGCTGGCAAATTGAACTTCAATATTTATTTTAAATGTAAAACATATTTTTAAGGCTATGTCATTTATATTGATAAGCATTGATTTTCTGTGTCTTGTAGTCTTTGTAATGAGGATATTCGCATTAGAAAACAAGTAAACTGAAAACACAATGGATTGACAATATAGCTTAAAGAACTGACAATGGATAGATAGGTTATAAAGGTTCATAATTAGCAGCCTCGTAATGGCAAGCAAAGTGTGTGGTGGAACCCACTGGATGGTGTGACCATCAAGTAAGAGATGCAATAAATCAAATGCAGGTGGCCAAGGACCTCGCTTTGCGACAGGCTTATGTTTAGCAATAGACTTACAATGGGCTGTAATGCAGATGAGGCTAATATTGGAAGCCCTCAGTGCACAAATAACCCTTTAATACCTTATATAGTTAATCTTAATTATGACTTGAAATGAAAAATAGAATTAACTTTGCATTGATTTGTAAATGCAGGGTTAGACTGTTGTATTAAGTTAAAATATTTCATAGTATACAAATGTTATTCCTTATGATTTTATTTACCTCTGGAGTATCTTCGTTTGGATACAACATTCTTCTAATGTCTATAACATAGTCAATCATGTTAGTTTTACTTAGAATCTCCAATTTAGCTTGCAGTAATTCTGACTGATCATAAGTCTGAAATTCGTAAATAGAAATTAAGCTTAACAAAACATAACAAGGGAATAAAAGCATGGAAGTAGAACTTACAGACATATGTACATAGTCTGTTATAAATATTTGTGTGACTGAGCATCTACTTGATTATAAGTAATATGAAATACCTCTTTTGCTGCTAAGAATTCTAATAGTGGAAATACGAGATGTCGGTCTAAGTATTGACCAATTTTGAAAGTTAAATCAAATTTTGAATAGCTCATTTTTAACAATATTTAGCACTTTTTTGATAACCAATACACTCGTGTCCTGCTTGCGTTCGATGAAATGACAGAACCATAGATAAGTAATTATATTCTTTTAATTAAGAGTTTTGGCTTGGATGCTTGTTCTTTAAGCGAAGTCTTCATTTATAGTTTCTGTGATGTTAATCCTGTTAGCCTGTTAGTCTATGCGCACAAACTAGTAAGAAGTGCTAGCGTAGTCTATGCGGCTATTACAGCTTTATAGAACCCAGCCTTCATTTTATTCGGGATCTTCGTTTTTATAAATTTTCGGTATCCAGTGCTAATAATTCTTTAAAGTACATTGCTTTACAATACATTGATGATGTCACATCACCGTTTTTGGGAGATTTTGACGGCAACTTGAGCCAGCAGACAGTTGGCGATAGTACCTCAAGGCGCCTGCAGATAGTCACTTTATCTTGATATTCGCCACATTGTTTTTTTATTTATTTAATGCAGGTTTCCTATAGATCAAAGTTTAAGAGATAAATGGAAGTAAGCTCCCCCGGGGCAAGTGTGACATAAATTAATTAAAACTATAATGGAAACTTAAATACTTCTACTCTGTAAGGGCTTAAAATAGATAATTCCATTTCAAAACATCAATCATTAAGTGGTTGTTTGTTTGATCAAGCATTTTAGTATCGATAAGAAGCATTTTGTAATTTGAGGTAGTTAAAACTAATTAAGGTAGAAGACTGTCACACTTACCCCATCAATGAGGCAAGTGTGACAGTACGCTTCTTTTTGTAGTTACCTTATTATTATCGGTGGTTTTCATCAAAATTGATGAGATGATACTAATGTCAATATATTTTATGATCTATTTGAACGATTTGAACGTCCATTCTTGTGTAAAAATAAATTTTTCCTCACATAGGGCAAATGTGACTGTTTTTAACCTATATAGGCATGTGCCTATAAATGGATTTATGTCACGCTTGCCCAGGATGTTTTGTAAATGTAATAAAAACAATGCAAAGTGAAAAATAACTTTAATACAGAAACGTAACAATAAATACTAATATAACCATAATGCTTTGGTACTCATATTATATACGCTATTTTAGTTGAATAAAAACTTATTAATAAATGTATTATTTAGTTAAATTTAAGAGGGAAAAAAACGTCATCTTCATCGTTTAACAAAACAAACACATTGGGGCTTTTTCTATTTTAAAAGACTTCAATAATAAGGAGGTACTCAATTCGACTGTTTTTTTTATGTGTGTTACCTCATAACTTTTTTTCTAGGTGCTAGAAAGCTGGTGCATCTCATGTGGTCCCATAGAATTTAATTAACTTCTAACCAGTAGTTATTGAGTTATCTTTAATAATTTATATTGAAGTCGGATGTACAAAATCTTTAATTTGTGGTCTAACTATGTGTCTCTTAACCACTTGTGGTCTACATAATGCTTGTAATAAAATACTTTCTACCGATCATTTATTACCATATTCTGTAGTATCCCAAAATAATACTGCCATTTTTTCATTTCGTGATATCGCACTAAAACAGCGTAATTTTTTCTAAAATCTAATTATACTTGTATCTTCAGCATCATTCAATAGCACTCATTATTTCTGCTTCTGACATCCTCTGACATTTTTATTTGACATGTATTGTTTACTTGGTATTAATTTAAAAAAGTATATACGTAAGTATAAATACATACAAACACACCGGTACATAGCATCCTCTTTTTTGAAAGTCGGTTAATAACAATGGCTGTCCCATCACAAGCTACGATATTGTCATACAAGGTGATCAGGGTAAGCGTGACACTGTCACACTTACCCCGATGTTAGATATTAGGTGAGGTAAGTGTAACTGTATCCTTATTTCAAGGAATAGTGGATTACAGGTCACAGAAACATATTACACTAAAAGTACCAATATTTTCTTTATCACTCACCTTGTATGTTGTTTAAAATAACTTAATGACGTATCGAAAACTTAAAAACTTTGCGTCTTAAAATTTCGCCAGTTGAGTGGTTTTTAAAAAATGACCTCTGTGGATAAAATCGTTTAAGATATGTACTTAACTGTCGGTATAGTCAATAGCGTAAAAGTTGCTTCGTTGTTCAATAGATGGAATTTAACCAAAAAATGTATTCTTTCCGCATAATTTGCATTTGTTACACTTGCCCCTCTGTCACACTTGCCTCGGGTGACTCTACTTCTGTAATGACAAGCTTACCTGGCTTCCCACAAGGAACAGTGTCATTTGCTCAGATAATTTCCAAACCTCCGACTTTCAAGCGTTTGCGAACAATAGAAGGCGATTGGTCAGCGACAATAATAACGTTTCATAGCAACGGTCGAGTTGTTTCGGAATTGTTTACGAAGACGGCACTCGTCCTCATACAATAGGCGGTTAAGTCGAGCGACTGATTCGAGCGTGTATTAAAGTTGTTATAACGCTATAAAAAGTATTCTGTGGTTGTCGCTGTCACCCAGCGATTGTTTTGATCTTAAAGTAATTACATACATACGTATGCATAGGGAGAACCTACAACTCTATATAAATATAGTCAATATACTTTTCTTGCTTTTTCTAATTTAATGTTCAAATAAGGCAAAAAAGACAAATCTATTTAAAAATGTTGCGTGTAATTCATGCGTGGAAATAGAATTGTCAAGTGGTCATCTTTGGTCTCATTATACTATGCCAAATATGAGAGTAAGTACACTCGTATCTTCTGATTTACTAGAAAAATGACATCTCTTTTACAAGGCATGACCATATGGGTAATAAATATTACTAATAACGAGTACTAATAGTGAGTCAATTCGGCGACTAGACGGAGAAAACAAATCGTGTCGTCACGAGACGAATTTAGACTGGATCAAGGCCACGAAATATTTCTTATTTAAAAACATGCACACTTACTTTCTCATTTCTGATATCACGTTTATGCGAAAGTAATAGTGTCATAGGTCAAATGCAAAAGCAATGTATGTATAGGTGAGTGTGAAAGAGACAAAACTAGTCACCCGCGCTCACACGACATTCGATGGCTGGTAGTACATTAACAGCCGAAGCCGTAGCCGATACGTCGCGAAAATAGCCGAATAAACGATTTCGTTCTGATCGCTCGATCGTAAAATCATGTTATTGAGTAAAATATTCACTATAATAGATAGTTTCGTTGGACTGCAGCATTGTATGAATAGATAGTTCCTATAACTGGTTATGTTTTGAAACGACTACTCCTATGTTGAACCTATGTGAGAAAAGGAAAGAGCTTGTGACGAGTAACGTGGGTGTCTTAGTAACAGTTTTTATCTTATTCTTACAAAGGTAACTGTCATATGTATGATTAAAAAAAACTTGTGACTGTCTTTTAGTGGATTTGTTATCTCGTGGAACAGGAGCTGTTCTTTCAGTTTGTTTGTCACAATTACTGTCTGCTATTTTAAGATACCAATTTTTTTCTGTTACGGTAAATACGCCTCACCCCTAGTTTGTGATTTAATCTAATCTGTAGTCCTGATACAACCTATATACAAATTAGGGTAAACTATATAGTGATTGCCCACTCTATCATCGCTAGATGACGTTATAGTAATCGTGGTAGCTTTAGTATTAATAAACTGGTAACATTTAAAATAACATCACTTTCATGGGGAGTTTTGGCGGGAAATTGACCGGCGGCGGTTTGCTGCTCCTGTATTATTGTTTAAATAATGGTTTGAAGTGGACTTTGATATGTAAAAGTGTTGCGATTTTGTGTATTAAGTGTCTACGCATGTGAACTATTAGTGGAAACAGTGAAACAAGTGCTCTGATGGTGACGGATTCTCAAGATAAGCTGTTTGTTTGCATAGGCACCTTTAGATACCATCGCCAACTATCAGCTGTCTGCTGGATCAAGTTGCCGCCAAAATCTCCCAAGAACTGCACAATGTGACGCATCAACATATTGTGAAGCAGTATACTATGAAGGAGTGGGGAAATTACAATAAACCGAATAAAAATACTTAAGACTTGGCCTAAAGGTCTAGATACCAGGCCATAAACTCCAAAAAAAAAATCACTTTCATGGCGGATTTTATTACATCAGGTGTGCGTCTCGTCAAAAAAGTAAGTTTCTTGTGATATTTTTTAAGAATAACATACTTAATTTCATGTCAATTGTCCACATTTTTCATTATTAGGTGGTCTTTTAATAATATAAGATGATAAAAAGGCTTTCTATTGTATTTTTAACCGCGTATTATGTATTGCGGGGGGGGGGGGGGGGTGGACAATAGCTGTACATGAATTTCAATAATTTTAGTTATTGCCTTATCAATATTTAGTGATTGCCATAGACAATAATTACAGTTATTGACCGGGCAATATCTGTTTCAAAACGGTTTTCTTTAGTTTTCGTTTTACTTGCAGAATTCCAAAAGCTCGTTAATTAAAATATACGCCAGAAAATCTCAAAGAAGCTATAGCTGAATTACAAAACAATGAAAAAATATTTTCAGATCGGCAGATATGCCAAAAACATGGTGTCCCAAGGACTACCCTCAGATTTTACAAAGATAAACCAGGCCACAAAACGAGTCTCGGACCTTCGCCTATCTTGACTTTAAAAGAAGAAGCTATTCTCGAAGATTGGATTATATCTTCAGCACGAAATGGTTTTCCGAAAAATAAAGATAACATTTTAGTTAGCGTTCTCTTCGACAACCCACGACCCAACTCATTCCTTAATAATCGACCTGGTATTGGATGGTGGAAGGCTACACCCTAGACTTAGAACTTCAGAAGGAGTGACGAAAGCGAGTTCATGTGTGTCAGAAAAAGACATACGAGGTTGGTTTGACGAAATACGTCAGTACGCTGAGGAAAAAGGGTTAAGTGAGATTCTCAATCAACCCAATAGAGTTTTTAATGCAGACGAGACCAACTTTCGAATTTGTCAGAGCACAGGACTAGTTGTAGCAGAGAAAGGTTCAAAAAATGTTTATAGCATTGAAAACTCAAATGCGAAAGAATCAATAACAGCTTTATTCACGTTCTCGACAGCAGGTGACATATGTTGCCCATTTATTATATATCCCTATCAAAGACTAACAGAAAAAATATGCGAGTCTTTACCGGAAGAATGGGGCATTGGAAAATCGGAAAATGGCTGGATGACTGCTGAAGTGTTTTATGAGTTTATTGCTAACGTTTTTCATCCATATTTAGTCTCCAAATCCGTCGAATTCCCAGTAATACTATATGTTGATGGCCACAAAACACATTTAAATTACCATTTGAGCCAGTTATGTACACATCTCAAAATTGAATTAATAGCACTGTATCCCAACGCGTCGAGGATTATTCAGCCAGCTGACGTCTGCATTTAGACCCCTATAAGTAGGCTGGAGGAAGTACCTAAAGAAATGGCAATTATTAAATCAAAATAAGGGGATAACCAAGCAAAATTTTGCACCTATCTTAAATGAAGTCCTTGCAGCAAGTATGAGACCAGATATATTGGTTAATGGTTTCAAGGCGTGTGGTATCTGCCCGTTCGATTCCGACGCTATCAATTATTCAAAATGTTTAGGCAAGAATACTGTTCGACATAAAGATGCTTCTAAAGAACTTTCCGATCGAGCAACAATAACCTTTAAGTCATTCAAAACCATAGTTGGATCTTCGCTTTGTAACATATTCCAAGATGAGTCGTTCAGCACTACAGAAAAGCACCTTAATGTGATATATAACCTTTGGAAAGAATTTCAATCTAAAGTAAACGATCGAAACACTGAAGTGGCAGTAGACGCAGTTGCTGATACTATATATCAGACAAAAAAGAAATTACACAGAGAAATAAAGAAGACTGAAAAAAGTAATAAAGTTATAACCAAAACAAAAACAAACCCTGTATTGAAAAATCAGGATGAGACTGAAAAAAACAGAATCAGGAAAAAAAATCTCGATTTTTAGATGAGTGTATTTATAATAATGTTGATTATAGGAGAATTGAAATGTGGGCAATAATTGTATTTGATTAATGGCAAGAACTGAATGCACCGGGCAATTACTGTGTTACGAGAGGTTTATTTTGATTATTTTTTTCATATTACATTACCAAAGATATTGTAACCTAGTACACAGTTATCTGTGATTGTAACTAGTGATTGGTGTTCATTTAGATAATATATTGAAGTTATCAAAAAAATTATATGACTTCATTTATTCAATAATAAATTTTACAAATGAGAGAAAACGAGCGTCAATCCGTTAAGCGGGCAATTACTATATAGTTTACCTATATAAAATATAAAATACTGCTAGCGCCGTAGAGGGAGTAGGTACAATGTAGTTTATTCTCTCTCTACGGCTAGTACAGATACGGAGTACTCTAGCACTTCTTATTAGTTTGTGGTAGTACTATTATTTATTCTGTGGCGCAGATACGACCAGTGCTGCCAACTCTTAAAAATATATCGCATCGCGTAGAGTCGCGTATGCGCGAAGACTTTAATTTAATATAAAATAAGATATTAATATAAAATAAATATAAGAATTTAATATAAAATTCTCTCATTTTAATCTAAACAAACTGTATGGTTACACCACACATTTTTATTTAGTAAACGCTGCAACCTACTTTTAGCCGTGCGTCACGTGTATTTAAATTGACTTAATTAATTGCATTCTCACAATCGGCAGTACGTCAACAACCGTCCTTCTAAACACCAATTACTTAAGGAAAGATTTGCCACTCTAACTTTGTAACTATTTTACTGTTAATAAACTTTTAATTTTGGTGATCTTTTCCTTTGGCGTACTCATTAACTACAACTCTACTTCTTGAAAGTGTGTGGCCTTACAAACCATACATTTTATGGTCCTTCGAGAAAAGGGTATTTGTTTCTTTGCGATAGCGATCGGTTCATCGGCCTCCCAGAAGCGGGTCTCACCGGTGAATTGAGAAGGCGCATTTTATATCGCTCAGGGGCAATCACACTACAAATCATTTCTAAGACGGAGAAATTCGAAGCTGGTATTATTTATTGAAGTTTCGGTTTTCGAAGATTAGATACAAGGAGGCTGCGAAAAAATTTGTTGCCTTCGGGTCGTGCACCAACCAGCGCGTCTCGCCACGACTGTGTAAGTAGAAGCAGTCTACGAGCTAACCTAACTAACTCACCTGTCGCCGCAAACTGCGGGACAATTCAAGAGATAATCTACTTCAACTTACTTATTGCCGTGACTACGGGATAATTACTAACTAATAATTACAACTTAATAATAACTACAACTTATCTGGTGTTGCGTATCGGGTCAACCCGAAACGACTGTCACCGAGTGTCACCGTAAACTACGGGTCAGCTACTTCACTAACTAACTTTACTACAAACTTAGTGTACGAAGAAAAACTCCATGACAAAAATGTTGGATCTTCAACTACAATGCTTCAATAACATCAAATATCTCTGCTCAAACTATAAGAAGGATGGAGTGAGTAGAAAAACTGAGGAGTACTTACTAAGTCGTATCCAATCCCTTGAAGATCAATGGATCTACTTTGAACAGCGCCACAAAATTATTGTGGAAACTATTGAAGATAAAAACATCGACTACTTCACAGGAAATGTTTTTGCTAAAACTAAGGAGCTTTATGAAACTATTTTACTAAGTGTGCAGCACTTACTGCTACAAGTACGTAAAAGCAAGTCTGTGCATTTCGATCTCACCGGGATGCTGGACGGCACCACCGACGCAAGTGTCAAAACGCTCTTAGAGCAGCAAGAATGCAACTTTAAAGCTCTCGATCGCGTCATGTCTAAAATCGATATTCAAGCTATAACTGATAGATGGGAATTACAAGACAATTAGAAATTACAAAAGTTATCGATAAACAGCATTGGGAGTTGGAAGCAAAACTCAAAGGCTCCAATCTTCAATACTATAACTTGTTTATTACTATGGAGGGGAAATACGATGAGCTACGACGTCAGCTTAACACAAAAATTTGGTCAAATAATCACTATGAAAAATCTGCGCCGAAAATAGAAGTACCTGAATTCTCAGGCAGCTACATCCAATGGATTTCTTTCAAAGATCTTTTTATGGAGGCAATTCATAATAATCTTACGATCAACAAGGCACAAAAGATGCAACATCTGAAGACAAAGTTGAGAGGAAAAGCTGAGCGACTAGTACAACATCTCAGCATCGGCGCTAAACACTATGACTCATACTAGGAGATACTCACCCAGTGCTAAGACAATCGGCGTCTTCAGTTTACATCTTTCGTCAACACCATGCTCAACTTGCCTGTAATACAACACCCCGACAACTACAACTTAAAAAAGATGCATGACGTCATAACTGAATGCCTGAATGGGCTCGCCAACATCGGTATTGAAACATCCACTTGGGACCCACTCATCGTCCATTAGATGTCGCAAAAATTAGATACTTCAACGTACCGTGGGTGACTGAACCACGGCTACTAAGTCCTCCCGCCACGACAAGGCGGGAACACGTTCGGGAGGGGGGCGTTGTTTGGTATCCTAGACCAACAGTTTGCGGAGTAATATCAGAAGGATATTGAATCCATACAAAATAACAAGAACTACTTACTTGAACTATTGAAAAATCAAAAATTGACGGTGGTAGAGCCACGCAGCAGCATTTGCTGTTGCACGTATGGGCCGGCTCGAGCTGGGTTAGTACCACGACCTCACAGAATACCGGCGTGAAGTGGAAGCTCTGCTTCCGCGTTTCGTCTGGTGAGCGCAGGTGACCGGAGGCCCAATCCCCCCACCCCCCCCTCAACATGGTAGCGGAATTACATCATAAACTACCCCAGGAGGGTACCAGTGCCCCTGGAGAATCCTTCGCTGAGCATCCACGACCATGCTATTCTACTCCTGAGCGTGGGTGCTCAGGCTGCCCCGCGTATTCTTGGGGGGGGGGGGCAAAATTCCGCCCAACACAATAACTGCTCGGGGCAAACTGAGCAACAAGACCAAGGCGACCCCTGCCACGCTATCCGTGAATTTCTGCAACATCAGGGCACTTCACTCGAACCTAAACGCCGTCCACTACCATCTCGAGACGGCGAAGCCGGCCTTGCTCTTTCTGGCCGAGACGCAGGTGTCCTCTCCGGCTGATACTTCGTATCTCTCCTACCCGGGGTACAAATTGGAGCACTCCTTTGTGCCTCGGGCTGGAGTTTGCGTGTATGTCAGAGAGGACATCTGTTCTCGACACCTCGGCAGTCTTGAAGGTTCGGACCTGTCCATCCTTTGGCTACGCGTAGACAGCGACGACCATCCGCGCGTCTACGTGTGCCTCTATAGGTCCCATAGCGGTAATGCCGAAACAGACCGACTCATCGACCACGTCCAAATGGCTACAGATTCCTTGCTACAACAGGTCCCATCCGCAGAGATCGTGATCCTTGGCGATTTTAACGCCCACCACGCTGAATGGCTCGGTTCACGTTTAACTGATCATGCGGGGAGATCTGTTTATGACTTTGCCTTGGCATACTGTCTGACACAACTGGTTACATCGCCTACGCGGATTCCAGATGTTGAGGATCATACACCTTCCCTGTTGGACCTTCTGCTGACCTCTCATCCGGACGGATATCAGGTTTCCGTCGATGCCCCTCTTGGCTCTTCGGACCATTGTCTGATCCGGAGTATGGTGCCACTCACGCTCCCCTCGCGGTTGCGTTCTGCAGGTTGCCGCCGTGTTTGGCATTACAGGTCGGCGGATTGGGACGGAATGCGGTCTTTCTTTGCTTCCTACCCATGGGGGCGGGTTTGCTTCTCGCCGGATGATCCCAGCGCTGTTGCTGACTCTGTCACTGATGTGGTGCTACAGGGAATGGAACTATTTATTCCATCATCTCTGGTACCCACCGGAGGCAGATCTCAGCCTTGGTTTGGTCGCTCCTGTAAGACTGCATTACGCAGTAAGCAGGAGTGTTATCAAGCCTGGGCTGCGGCTTCGGCGACTCGGGATGTAAACACCAGCACACTTAAAAAGAAGTATAACTTCGCCTCCAGGTCCTTCGAAAGAGTTATTGCCAAGGCAAAGTCAGAGCACATAGGCAGAATTGGCGAGAAACTAGTTCGCCTTCCTTCGGGAACCCGTGCATTCTGGTCTCTCGCCAAGGCTGTCCAAGGGAATTTCTGTAAGCCATCATTACCATCTCTGAGAAAGCCGACCTTTTGGCTCCCTTTTTGCGTCCAACTCGACTGTTGATGACGGGGGGAACACACCGCCGACCATCCCGCGGTGTGAGTGCTCCATGCCGGATGTGCGGTTCTCACAGCACTCGATTCGTAGAGCACTCCCCTCCCTTGACATCCACAAGTCGAGTGGGCCTGTCGGAATCCCCCCAATTGTGCTGAGGACGTGTGCTCCGGAGTTGGCACCGGTTCTAACGCGTCTTTTCCGGTACTCACACTCCCTAGGCGTAGTCCCGAAATCATGGAAGACAGCTTTTGTCCACCCGATCCTTAAAAAAGGCGACCGCTCAGACCCGTCCAACTACAGGCCTATCGCCATCACCCCCTTGTTCTCCAAAATAATGGAATCCGTTATAAACTGCCACCTCATGCGGTACCTTGAGGATCACCAGCTGATTAGTGACCGCCAGTAAGGTTTTCGTCGGGGTCGATCAGCTGGTGACTTCTGGTCTACTTAACTCATAGATGGGCGGAGGCAGTAGAGTCCAAGGGGGAGGCATTGGCCGTTAGTTTGGACATTGCGAAGGCCTTCGATCGGGTTTGGCACAAAGCGCTTCTTTCGTAGCTCCCTTCCTATGGGCTTCCCGAGAAATTATGCAATTGGATCACCAGCTTTCTTGCAGATCGGAGCATCAAGGTCGTTGTAGACGGTGCATGCTCCGACTACAAGCCTATTAACGCTGGTGTTCCACAAGGCTGCGTGCTATCACCAACGCTGTTTCTTCTGCATATCAATGATATGTTGCAAGCCGGTAGCATTCATTGTTATGCGGATGACAGCACTGGTGATGCTCTATACACTGGCCAAGCCAATATTGCTCGGGAAAACGTCACCGAGTACCGGAACAAACTTGTGTCTGAAGTCGAGTCTTTACTGGAAAAAGTCTCGGATTGGGGGCGACTAAATCTAGTCCATTTTAATCCTCAGAAGACACAAGTTTGCGCGTTTACCGCTAAAAAGAACCCCTTTGTCGTATCTCCTCAGTTTCAAGGTACTCCCCTTGTTGCCTCAGCCAGTATCGGAATCCTCGGCGTCGACATATCGAGTGACGTGCAGTTTCGTGGTCACTTGGAAGAGAAGGCCAAATTGGCCTCTAAAAAACTTGGCGTGCTCAGCAGAGCGGGATAGTATTTCATGCCAGCTCAACACCTGCAACTTTACAAGGCGCAGGTTCGGCCTCACATGGAATACTGTTCCCATCTCTGGGCAGGGGCTCCCCAGTGCCAGCTCCTTCCACTTGACCGCATCCAGCGCAGAGCGGCTCGAATCGTCGACAACCGAGTCCTTTCCGATCGGCTCGACTCATTGGCACTGCGAAGAGATGTTGCATCTCTTTACATTTTCTTTCGCATTTACCATGGGGAGTGCTTTGAGGAATTGTTCGGATTAATCCCAGCCGCCAAATTTCACGAACGCACATCGCGGCAGAACTCCCGATACCATCCACACCATCTGGATGATTGGCGGTCCACCACTGTGCGATTTAGAAGATGTTTTCTTCCTCGCACAACTTCCTTGTGGAATAGTTTACCGCCAGCGATTTTTCCGGACCGATACGACTTAGGGACCTTCAAGAAAAGAGCCTACACCTTTTTAAAAGGCCGGCAACGCATCTGCAATCCCCTTGGTGTTGCGGTTGTTCATGGGCGGCGGTAGTCACTTACCATCAGGTGAGCCGCATGCTCGTTTGCCCCCTCTCCTATAAAAAAAACTTCTGTCGTGGAGCAGGAAAATCAGGTTCTGAGGAAAAGTGAAGACAATATCAACAAATAACTCAGCAGGATCGACGGGTTTATGAATCAAACCGATGCCAACTTCGCCAAGGTTGAATCAGCTGTAGAGATAATGATGGCCACTGATTTCTTTAACTCAGCTTCATTCGCCACATACTTACCCCTAAATAATATGCGCACCATGCAAGAGATGCTATTTGACTCTCTTACCGACGTCTACAAAGGTCACATGGACGTTCACTTACTTTCTCCAGTCGAACTGATGAAGCAACTAAATATGATTTCTGGAAGACTACCGAAATCGCTAAGCTTACCTGTGAATAATCCAAGGGAGGATATCAAAGATATCTACAAACTACTCTACGTAAAGGCTCGAGTGACGTCTAACTACTTTTTATTTGAAGTTCACGTGCCGCTCATATCGGACGATGAATTTTTACTCTACAGAGCTATCCCACTGCCTATGAAAACTGAAACAGAAACCACTACAGTGCTAGTGCAATCACCATACATCGCTGTGAATTTCCAGAAAGATAATTATATCTCAATAACTGAAAATGATATTAAAATGTGCATTCAACTAAAGGAGCGCCGCTACATCTGCCACAAGAATTTGCCAGTATTCAACTTGCACAACAAAAACGCACCTTGCGAGGCGTTGTTACTAAGTCACGGTGTTAAACCTCCTTGTGACGTCAAAAAGACGACCTGTGTTGACGCGTGGATCGCGCTACACTCGCCGAACAGCTGGCTGGTCATTTGCTGCGGAGTTTGCACTTTGCGCACAATATGTGATACTGACGTTATGTCACGCACTATGACGATGTCTAGCATTATAACTATAGCGCAAGGTTGTATTTTATAATCCAAAGATACAACTATTTATTCGCGCAACGAGTACAACACCAACATGCAGATGCAGCACCAGTACGAGATCCCTACACTAAACTCGTCGGTGAACAATATCGTCGACTTGACCTACCACAATTCTTTACAGAGCGGTTGACGCGAAACGATCCAAACAGACACACAGGAGATCGAGAAGAAACTACTCTATCTTCATGAACACTAAGTACTACCGTCATCTATTTCAAGTCATGACATCCTGCAATATATTATTTGCTACACCTTGTTTGGAGCTGCTATACTGGGATGTCTGGTGTGGATCATCAGGAAACATAACTTACTATGCTGCAAGCCAGGGGGCAGTACAAGACACGGACATCGAACTGCAACATCAAGGGATGGCGTCTCCCATGCGGCAAGCGACACGTGCAGCGCCGCAGCAGGCGCCCGCGCCCATGAAGCAAATACAAAGAGGAGACGTCCTAATTTAATTTCACTATGTAACAGCGCGTGACAATTTGCGGGGTGAGGGGATACAAATCCGCGCCCACTTTACACTATCTATATCTACTGATAAATAGTAAAACTACTCGAATCGTTCCAAATCGATGTTGTAATGTAGTTTAGCTACCTTGACGGTAGATTTTTTTTTATAGGAGAGTGGGCTGCCCATGAACAACTGCAACACCAGGGAGGGAATTGCAGATGCGTTGCCGGCCTTTTAAAAAGGAGTACGCTCTTTTCTTGAAGGTCCCTAAGTCGTATCGGTCCGGAAAAATCGCTGATGGTAATTGATTCCACAAGGAAGTCGTGCGAGGAAGAAAACATCTTCTAAATCGCACAGTGGTGGACCGCCAACCATCCAGATGGTGTGGATGGTATCGGGAGTTCTGCCGCGATGTGCGTTCGTGAAATTTGGCGGCTGGGATTAATCCGAACAATTCCTCAGAGCACTCCCCATGGTAGATGCGAAAGAAAATGCAAAGGGTGTAGTGTTATGCTACTTACATATCATTTTACATTATTTTAAATTCATTTTTCCATTCTGTTTCGATTTTCTGCATTCACCTCAAAACTGGATATTTTACATCACCTTTATTTCCATAGGATCCTGTAACGATTTTAAACCATAAGAATACAATAACAAATCATTTCTACTTCGTATTTTCACATTATCAGCACTTTTAAATTGGTGTCAATGGAGTCTACCTTTTTTCGATCTTTTAGCTAGTTTTCCGTAACTCTACAATCTTGGACTTTGTGTGGGCAGCTGCGCTACCTTTTTTCCTATATCAATAATATCTCATTTTCCACTTAAATCTTACCATTTTCTTATTATAAACCTAAAACCAAAATTTGACATGTTTTGATATTGTTATTTATTTCGTTGCTATAGTAATTATATTCAAATTTGCTACCGATCTGTTGTTCCTATTTGGATAATTCCACATAAATCCTCTTTTCTCTTGACCATTTACAAAAAATTTGCGTTTAATTTAAATAATGTTTCCGTTCTCTCTAGAAAGGTATAAAAGCCGAACAATCGGTGAAGAAAGGCAGTCTCGCTTCAGTTCGCGAATTAGAAGTATCTCCTAAAGGCCTTATCCCGGGGCCGCACTGCCCCGGGATCCTGCAAGCCTCCACCTACACGTGAAGTCTTCGGCGAAGCCTTCTTCAAACGCGGAGCCGCACCACTCCGGATTCTTACAAGCCTCTATCTACCTCGGAAGTCGCTTCGAGACTACTACAAGCGCGGGGGCCACACTACTCCGGGCGCTACGACTACTTACTCCAGGCGCCGAGTGCACCTACCGCCGGCGCTACCTTTGGGCGCTGCAACTGCTGGCTCTAAGCGTTGAGCGCACCTACTCCAGGCGCTACGTGCGCCGGCTCCGGACGCTGCGTGTGCTGGCTTCAGGCGCTGCGTGCCGTCGCTACTAAGAAACCTACCTCTACAATCGCAACGTGTGACGCTTCGACTTTTAGACCCCACTACATCTCTATATTCCCCTATTCTCCTACCTTTATATTTTTTTTGTAATCTAATTGTACTCTCACTTCATCCATCATCATCCTCATTTCATTTTTTTATAAAATTGTAAATATCTTTGAATTTTGAATATATTTCTGTTTTTGTTGTATTTTTGTTGTTTTGTTGTTCTTAGGTTAGATTCTTTTTGATATATTATTGTCGCTTCACGACATTTGGCGCCCAACGCAAAAGTCCTCTTTCTCTCTTAATTCTTCACCTTTACTGCGCCTTGTCCATTCCCTTTTGATTTAATTGCTCTCCCTTTCGTTCCTAACTCTTTATTTATTCATCCTTTTCATACCTTCCAAATTCTAAAACAACACTTCATCTAGTGTTTCAACTTATCTGGATTATATTTAGACCTACATTTAACACTTCACTTACATTCATTACTTTAATATTTTTATTCTAGAACAAAACTTCATCTAGTTTTTCAACTTATCTGGATTATATTTAGACCTACATTTAACACTTACATTCATCACTTTAATATTTTTATTGTAGATAACCTTCCAAATTCTAAAACAACACTTCATCTAGTGTTTCAACTTATCTAGACTATATTTAGACCTACATTCAACACTTCACTTACATTCATCACTCTAATATTTTTATTCTAGGTAACTTAAAGAGGTATAACTTTTCAATTAAATCTTTATTTCTTAAACTTAACTTTGTACTTTACACTTTATATAAAATTGTTTTTCAAAGCTGAAGCGAGACGATTCATAACTTTTCTAAGCATTTACTAACTGTTAATTTGTATATATGTATAAATATCTAAACATTTATTAACTGCTAATTTGTATATATGTATAAATATCACATTTAATTTGTATATATGTATAAATATCACCATCATTTTCACCTTGTTATTATTTCTTTTAATTTGTTTGTTTGTTTGGTAGGTTAATCTTCACTTCTTATTATTTCAGACACATCTCGCTAGTGATGTTGCTGATCTCTGGCTTTGAGCCCTACCGCTCTGGCCGTTCTTTATCTTTACTTAAGTCATAGCGACTAAAGCTTGCTTAAGATTGATTTCTTTATCTTTATCTTCACGCAGGAGCGGATGACAATTCCTTAAATAAGCCTGAATGTCCTTTCGAAAACACACTTTTAAGAGTGGTGTTTCTTCTACTAATTTTTTTTTTCCACGCAGGAGCGGATGACTACTCCTTAAATAAGCCTTAATGTCGTTTTGAAAACACACTTTTAGAGTGGTAGTCATTGAATGTGAACTCCACCCTTACCTGAATGGCAGATGATGTATGTAAGAGATAGTATATCTGATTTTGCCTGGTGATGTCTGTTTCTGCAAAGCTGTGTTTTTATGGTTTATTTTAGAATGTATATATCAAAATTTTTGCTGAGTCAAAAATTTTCCAGGGTCGGGGGGAAAATGTAGTGTTATGCTACTTACTTATTATTTTACATTATTTTAAATTCATTTTTCCATTCTGTTTCGATTTTCTGCATTCACCTCAAAACTGGATATTTTACATCACCTTTATTTCCATAGGATCCTGTAACGATTTTAAACCATAAGAACACAATAACAAATCATTTCTACTTCGTATTTTCACATTATCAGCACTTTTAAATTGGTGTCAATGGAGTCTACCTTTTTTCGATCTTTTAGCTAGTTTTCCGTAACTCTACAATCTTGGACTTTGTGTGGGCAGCTGCGCTACCTTTTTTCCTATATCAATAATATCTCATTTTCCACTTAAATCTTACCGTTTTCTTATTATAAACCAAAAACAAAAATTTGACATATTTTGTCTTTCTTATTTATATCGTTTCCATGGTAATTATATTCAAATTTGCTACCGATCTGTTGTTCCTATTTCGATAATTCCACATAAATCCTCTTTTCTCTTGACCATTTACAAAAAATTTGCGTTTAATTTAAATAATTTTTCCGTTCTCTCTAGAAAGGTATAAAAGCCGAACAATCGGTGAAGAAAGGCAGTCTCGCTTCAGTTCGCGAATTAGAAGTATCTCCTAAAGGCCTTATCCCGGGGGCGCACTGCCCCGGGATCCTGCAAGCCTCCACCTACACGTGAAGTCTTCGGCGAAGCCTTCTTCAAACGCGGAGCCGCACCACTCCGGATTCCTACAAGCCTCCATCTACCTCGGAAGTCGCTTCGAGACTACTACAAGCGCGGGGGCCACACTACTCCGGGCGCTACGACTACTTACTCCAGGCGCCGAGTGCACCTACCGCCGGCGCTACCTTTGGGCGCTGCAACTGCTGGCTCTAAGCGTTGAGCGCACCTACTCCAGGCGCTACGTGCGCCGGCTCCGGACGCTGCGTGTGCTGGCTTCAGGCGCTGCGTGCCGTCGCTACTAAGAAACCTACCTCTACAATCGCAACGTGTGACGCTTCGACTTTTAGACCCCACTACATCTCTATATTCCCCTATTCTCCTACCTTTATATTTTTTTTGTAATCTAATTGTACTCTCACTTCATCCATCATCATCCTCATTTCATTTTTTTTATAAAATTGTAAATACCTTTTAAAAATTTAAATATATTGTTTTCTGGCTCTACTTTTGTTGTTTTGTTGTACTTAGGTTAGGTTCTATATTTTTTTTAATTGTCGCTTCACGACAAGGAATGCAACATCTCTTCGCAGTGCCAATGAATCGAGCCGATCGGAAAGGGCTCGGTCGTCGACGATTCGAGCCGCTCTGCGCTGGATGCGGTCAAGTGGAAGGAGCTGGCACTGGGGAGCCCCTGCCCAGAGATGGGAACAGTATTCCATGTGAGGCCGAACCTGCGCCTTGTAAAGTTGCAGGTGGTGTGCCGGCATGAAATACTGTCCCGCTCTGCTGAGCATGCCAAGCTTTTTAGAGGCCAATTTGGCCTTCTCTTCCAAGTGACCACGAAACTGCACGTCACTCGATATGTCGACTCCGAGGATACCGATACTGGCTGAGGCAAGAAGGGGAGTGCCTTGAAACTGAGGAGATACGACA